ATGTAAATTTAATGTCACTTTTAAATAGATACATGAACATCTTACGAGGAATAACCAATCATTCTAGTTGCCGACATGGTGAAAACCGGTACCTGACGCTTCTCCAAATCTAAACCTAGTCAGCATATTTATAAACGGGCTTTTCCCCCAACAAGCCTCCTTGTTTTCTTTTGTTGTTGTTTTCTCTCTAAAACTTTATTCCAACTAACACTTTCAGAATTTTATTGCTAAGTTTTTACTCACTGAGTTTTGAGGAAAAAATTATTGTTAGCAATTTAGATTATGGCTTACCAACAGTTATGATCCACTTTCAGTCTTATTAGAGATGCAGGAAAATAATCAAACACAAGAAAAAATAAAAGTAATTCTATTTTTAAATAGATGGAAAAAACAATTCTACCCACACTCTCATCCTCAATCTTTAAATGTGTACTCACAGGAAATTTGAGGCCTTTATTCAACAACACACAGTTTTTTAGAATTCTAGGATCAGGCCATTCTAAGACATGTTCTCACAGGCAAAAATTCTAATAAAGTGACAATGTGACCTGAAAGCTACAGGTATTCACAGAAGTCTAAAATGGTGACTCAGGCAATGATTCAGAATGGAGGTGGAAAGAAAGGGGAGTTCAGATCAAACTCTATCAGCATTTTAGAACTGTACAACAGCCATCCCCATTACCACCAAGGCTCTTACTTCCTGGCAGGGTCTTGCCTGAGAATTGTAGTGAGAAATGTAGTAAGTAAATGTGACTAGTGAGAGTATATTATCCCTCAAATGTGTCAAGTCAGAGGGAAAGGGGTTGGGAATAAGTGTTCTATGACAAACCAACTCTTTTCAAACCATGCTCTCCTTATTGATTCTGATAAATATTTAAATTTTCACCTTTAAAAAATTCTTTTTAGTTGGTGTAACTGTAAATCTTGACTGGGAACAAAATAAAAGGTGTAGAGAAATTATTTTGTCAACATACCTGACAAAGCCAAATAGTTGATGTCATGGCCTGCTACCCTGCAGAATCTTCCTGACTGGCCAAATCCACTCAACCTGGCATAGATGAGCTTTGGATTCTCCCTCTGCAGAATCTCCGGGCCTAGCTGGAGTTTTTCCATAACACCTTAAGAGAAAGGGAACAAAGATTTTTTTTTTTCTAAGAGGGATGAATTGAGGATAGGAACAATCCTCTCTCTGTGGCAAACATAAAATGGCACTCTTCCAAATCATACTGATAACGTTTGTTGTGGGTTTTAGCACGTTTCCAATAATTAAGGACACAGAGTGAAGCCACCATTTCTGGAATGTGTGACTTCTGCCCCCAAATCCTATTTCCTTCCAGCCCCACCTTAATTCCCTTCAGGCATATCCAAGTTCCTGCAATCCCCATAGTGGGCCATTCCTTCCTTTAGTCAGTGCCTTTATAGTTCCCCAAATACTCTCCTTAGTAATTTATTAGAAATGGCTTGTTCTCCTAGAACAGTTACCCTGGGGCTGAATTTAGTCAAAAATTCACTTTCGAAAGCTTTTAAGGTCTTTTATTTTTCTGTGCCCCCATCATCCGCCACCTTCTACCTCACACTGTGCTTTTGTGTATATATTCCATCATCTTCCCCTCAGTTTAGAAGCTCCTCTGGCAGAATTCACACCTGATCTGTTTCCATGGGTCTCTGAAGTGCCTAGCATGGGCATCTTCACAACAAAGCTCACCAAAATGTCAGTGATAAAATTTGCTACAATACCATCTAAGAGCTCTTATGAATAAGTATAGTATTTATTGCACAAAATCCAGATAACTAGTATTTTTAACCTCCTGGGATTAAAAATAATGAAGACTATATATTTACAGTTTTGTCTTCCTAAAGCTATAGTAAATTACAGAAAACTCTAGTCTTCTACCTAAACACCAGCCACAATCCTCTCACCTGGCAGCTACATCTGTATTCACAGCTCTATTTTCCTTCTTTTTTTTTTTTAATTTTTTTTTAATGTTTATTTATTATTGAGACAGAGAGAGACAGAGCATGAATGGGGGAGGGTCACAGAGAGAAGGAGACACAGAATCTGAAGCAGGCTCCAGGCTCTGAGCTGTCAGCACAGAGCCCGACGCGGGGCTCCAACCCACGGACCGCGAGATCATGACCTGAGCCGGAGTTGGACGCTTAACCGACTGAGCCACCCAGGCACCCCTCTATTTTCCTTCTAATTGCAAGATCGTGGAGTCAACCATGTTGAGCCTCTATCTTTAAATGGGGCATTATTAAATTATGATATAATCCTAATTATTAAATTATTATAATCCCCCAATCTGGCTGTGTGAATAAATGATTTAACATTTAATATGCCTGGTGCCCCACAGATATTCAATTCATTCACCAAACATTTACTGACTTCCTGCTATATATCAGGCAAAGCTTTGGATTTGTACTTTTGAGCTTTGAGCAAGATTGCCCTGGGAGCTGAGAATGGATCCAAATTGTGCTAGACCCACACATCATCTTTAAAAAGGCTGTTACAACAGCGTGAAGGAAGCTACAGAAGCTAAGGAGGAAGAATGTCTGGATTCCTGATAACTGAAAGCAAATGCAGTTAATATTTGGAGTCATGGGCAGAGTACAGGGTTTGGATTCAGGCAGCTGGGAGAGTACTGGTTCCATTTAATGAGAAAAATAACACAGGAGGATGGGAATGCAAGCTGGTGCAGCCACTCTGGAAAACAGTATGGCGGTTCCATAAACTAAAAATAGAACTACCCTATGACCCAGCTATTGAACTACTAGGTATTTACGCAGGGGATACAGGTGTGCTGTTTCAAAGGGACACATGCACTCCCATGTTTATAACAGCACTATCAACAATAGCCAAAGTATGGAAAGAGCCCAAATGTCCCTCGATGGATGAATGGATAAAGAAGATGTCGTATATATATATAATGGAGTATTACTCGGCAATCAAAAACAATGAAATCTTGCCATTTGCAACTACGTGGATGGAACTGGAGGGTATTATGCTAAGTGAAATTAGTCAGAGAAAGACAAATATATGACTTCACTCATAAATGGGCTTTAAGAGACAAAACAGATGAACACAAGGGAAGGGAAACAAAAATAACATAAAAACAGGGAGGGGGACAAAACATAAGAGACTCAAATATGGAGAACAAACTGAGGGTTGCTGGAGGGGCTGTGGGGGGTGGGGGTGGGCTAAATGGGTAAGGGGCACTAAGGAATCTACTCCTGAAATCATTGTTGCACCATATGCTAACTAATTTGGATGTAAATTTTAAATAAAAATAAAAATAAAAAATAAAAAAAATAACACAGGAGGAGACGTTATTCTCGGAGGTAAGATAATGTGCTTGTTTTGGGATTTATGGAAGTTGCAGTGCCTGGGAGATAGCCAGTTAAGACACGTGCACGGTCTGTGTATTTCAGTGGTCTATGGCTCTAAAAGACGGAGGTACGATTACAGATTTGGCCATCATCTGTCTATAAAAAGGTGAAAACAGTGGGGATGGAAAAGGTGGCTCCAGGAAGCAAACTGTAAACCAAATTGAGCTGAAGCTGGAAGGAACTTGGAACACCAGGATTTACCGCAGAGAATGTTAGCCTGGGTCTAGAGGCTTTAGAGGGTACACCAACTCCCAAAACGGTAGAAAAACGACTATGTACCTACATGCAATTTTCCAGGAAGGCAATCTTTGGCTTTCCTTAGATTCTCACAGGATTCGGGACTCTCAAATAATTAAGAAAGACAAGCACAAATAAGTGATTAGAAACAAAGAGAATCTGGGGAAGGGGGCGGCAAATGGGTATAAGGAGAACAGGGGCAACCTCAGCATCTGAGATTCCAAGTATAGATCATCTCAAGGGGGGACTGATCAACAATAGCAAACGCGACAGAAAAATCTAGAAAGGCAGTGACAGGAAAAGGTTCTGTCGGCAACAGAGCTTAGATGTGACGGGCTCGTACGGCCCAGCCCCTCCCTTCGGCGGGGACCTTTCCGCGTCTGGTCCCCCGTCGGAGCCGCGGAGGCGCCTGGGGCTCACCGTGGCGGAAGGGCTCCAGCACCACGTCCGCCTGGGCGCACAGGCGCCTCAGCACCAATGCCCCGTCCTGCCGCTTCAGGTTCACCGCCAGCGAGCGCTTGCCCCGTGCCATGAAGCTGACGTCCCCTCTGCCGCCCGGCCGGTCCACACGCACCACCTGGGCCCCGAAGTCCGCGAGGACCATGCCGCAGAACGGGCCTGGGGCCAGGCCGGCCAGCTCCAACACCCGGATACCCTGCAGCGCCATGGGACCCGGTTCTCCAAGCGAAGAAGTCTCGGGTGGCCCAGACCTAGCCTAGACCGCCCGGGAGGCGAGCCCCAAGCGGCCTCCAAGCGGTCCCTCCCTCCTGCGCCTGCGCAGGGCCGTCCCTCCCCCTCCTCCTCCGGTGCAGAGTCTGTACATTGGGAGGATCCTGGCCCCGCCTCCTGGCTAGTCCAATAGGTGGTTTTCCTTTCCGTTGGTTGCTTTCCCTTTGAGGGGTTGCGTGCCCCTGGGTTCAGGCAGGCCTTCTTTGCCTGCCTCTGCAGATCTTCTGTTAGAATAAAGTAAGGCTTGTTAAACATTTTAAGATTTCTTTCCTTCTTTCTTTCTTATTTTCTTTCTTTCTTTCTTTCTTTCTTTCTTTCTTTCTTTCTTTCTCTTTCTCCCTCCCTCCCTCCCTTCTTTATTTCTTTCTCTCTTTCTCTTTTCTTTCTTTTTCTCTCCCTCCGTTCTTTCTTTATTTCTTTCTCTCTTTCTCCCTCTCTCTTTCTCCCTTTCTTCCTTTCTTTCTTTCTTTTCTTTCTTTCTTCCTTTCTTCCTTTCTTCCTTTCTTTTCTTCCTTCCTTCCTTTCTTTCCTTTTCTTTCTTCTGTCTTTCTTCCTTCCTTCCTTTCTTTCCTTTTCTTTCCTTTCTTTCTTTCTCTTTCTTTCCTTTCTCTTTCTTTCTGTCTTTCTTTCTT